GAAAAATTTGTGCGTTTAGGCCAGGGTTTGACTTCGTGTGGACGGGGCCTTAGACCCAGAACTAAAGCTTTTGAAATACTTTGTTTTAAAGATGCTGTAGGGCCAGGCAGGGGATTTGACATTTAAGTTAGACACAGAGAGCATTTCAGAATATTAATTTTGGATCAATTGTAATAAATATTAAATTGTTGCAAGGATGGTCAGAAACAGGACCCAAATGCAGAGACCAGGAGGCAGAGTTGAGTGTTGCAGAAATACAAAATACAAGTGAGGCAGAAATACAAAAAAAATAAAAAAAATGATTTCATCAGGAAAAACTCACGTGGGAAGCCAGAGACGAAGGAACAACAAAAGAACAAACCAGCACTGAGTGGCTGCAGAGGTGGTGTATGTATTGGAAGACTGAACCAAGACAAGCTAATCAGCAGATTGGGAGCAGGTGTGGGCAAGATTAACTAGGAGGAAGCCAAGGGGAAAGGAAAACATAGTCATTTTACAGTGCGTAGCACTGCTGCCATGCAGCAAGAAGGTTCCGGGTTCGATTCCCGGCCTGAGTTCTTTCTGCATGCAGTTTAGTTTGGTTCTCTCTGGGTACCCCAGCTTCCACCTATAGTCCAAAAACATGACTGTTAGGTCAGTTGGCTTCTCTAAATTCTGCTTAGGTGTGAGTGTGTGCGTGAATGGCTGTTTGTCCTGTCTGTCTCTTGTCCCCTTTCAAGGGTACACACAGCTTCTCGCCTGTAGACAGCTGGAGATAGGCACTAGCACCCCTTGCTACCCCAGCTGGGATAAAGCTTGACGGAAAATGGATTAATGGATGGATGCTATCATTTCCATTTTGTGTTACTCTGTTGCCCTCTTGTGTCAGTCTGATTTTCTTAGCTCCCTTCTCGATTCTTCTCTCCACACCTGCTCCCAATTTGCTGATCTTTATTTAGTCTCCCATTTATACACCTCCTGTTCAGTCACTGTTTGCTGGATCCTCGTCATTTCTTGGCTGCTTGTGTGTTTTTCCTGATGTCCCGCTGTATTTTGGTAATTCGTTATTTTGTTATTTTGGGATTTTTGCTTTACTTGCCAAGTTTTGTTATTAGCTCTGCTAAAAACCACCTTCAGCTTCAGTCTCTTCATTTGGGTCCTCTTCAAACCTGCACCCAACCGGGCAGCTCCTGGAAGTACAGAGGTCTAAAAAGAGGCTCAGAGGATACTGAGCTTGTGTAGTTGCTACTCTAAAGTTGTGGAATGACCTCCACCTCCTTATTAGACAATCTCATCTGAAACCTATTTTTATTCTTTGGCTTTTGGCATAAGACTCTCTCTGT